TGGGAGAAAGATGTGGCAATCTGCTTCCATAAGGATTTCCAGCCATGGAAACCCTATGGGGCAGTTCTACTCTGTTCTATAATATGCTATGAGTTGGAACTGACTCAATGGAATTTTTTTTTTTCCTTATCCATGTATCACAAGTCACTGTGAAGCAAGTTATGAACTTATTAAGAACAACTTTGCCTACTCTAAAAACTTCATTTGTCACAGGGGAAACTGAAGTCTCCCCTAAAAAAAACTAAACCTATTGCTGTCAAGTTGATTCTGACTCATGTGTGACAAGATAGAACTACTCCACAGAGTTTCCTTGGCTGTAATTGTCAGGCCTTCCTTTTGGGGTGCCTCTGGGTAGATTCATACCGCCAATCTTTAGGTTAGTAGTCAGAGCACTAACTGTGCCACCCAGGGACCTTGAAAGAGATGTATATCTTCTTATCATCAGATATACAGTGAGAAAAAAACCCAACCTGAGTCAGCATCTTTCTTGCTCACATAGTTGCCCTGTCTGTACTTCCGAAATATACACAAATGAAAACTGCTCAGTGAAGCAAACCCTTTCGAAATTATTCTGAACTTGAATAATGTAAACATATTTATGGTCTTGTATATCTTTTGCATGCTTTTATGAGTGTGGAAGATGGGTTTACTTCATAAATGTAAGAAACCTGAGTTGGTTAGATCTTTTTGAAAAGAACCTAGGAATATGTTAGAAAATCCAAATCTCTGTAGACTGAAAAGTGGTGTAATGACTCTTTTTGGTTTGTTTGTTTGAGCCGGGCAAACAAATTGTCTTAAAGAGAATGGATATTATTCTTTTTTTAATATTCCTATCAGATATCTGATATATATGTGAGGCAAAAGGCAGCATGGGTCTAGTTTTTGTGTGAAATTATACTGCATTCTTGATTCCTGTTTACTTTGGGATGATGTCCTAATTTGTCATTTCTGGGTTGGCTGTTTCAGGGAGCCATACTATATAATAGATATTTCTTGTGCCTTAGACATTAAGAAGTTGCATTGTAGTCACAAAATCAGACTTGGAGAACCTTGGGAAAGTTACTCCTTTATCTGTAAAATGGTGATAATAATGCTTATCTATAAATTTTGGTAAACATTAGTCTTTATTTTACACATAAGAGGTGATTAATATTATTATATAGACTGGCCTAGCTGTATTAGTTGGCAAAACTGCACTATCCCCTATCGTCAGCTCCTTAAATAGTAATGAATACCTATATATCTATAGCTATAGCTGGTGGCACAGTGTTTAAAACATTTGGCTGCTAACCAAAAGGTCCATGCTTTGAACCCTCCATCTCCTCCACGCGAGGAAGATATTGCAATCTACTTCTGTAAAGATAACAGCCTTTGAAACCCTATGGAGTTACCGAGTTTAATTCTGCTCTGTCGTGTAGGGTCACTTTCAGTTGGAATTGACTCAAAGGCATTTTTTTTTTTTTAAAAAACATATCTATCTAGAGCTATAACTATAGCTATACGTATACCTGTCTATATCTATATCATCTGGCTGTATCCAAGTCACATGTGGAAGCCTCAAAAAAGAAAAGAAAATCCTTTCCTTCTCTATCTATCTACATATGTTGTTGTTGTTATATGCTGTCAAGTCGGCCTTGACTCATAGTGACCCCTCCTTTGGTTTCTGAGGCAGTATCACTACAGAAGTAGGATTGCCCAAACTTCCTTCCGAGGAGTGGCTGGTGGGTTTGAACCGCCAGCCTTCTGGTTAGCAGTCAAATGCCTTAGACACTATGCTACCAGAGCTCCTTCTATCTACATATACCTACATATAATTTATTTATATATTAAATTTAATTTATTTAATTGAGTATATAAAAGGATAGACCCTCAGCAAGATGGACTGCCACCGTGGCTGCAGCAATGGGCTCAAGCATAACAATGGTGGTGAGGATGGCACGTGGCCAGGCAGTGCTTTGTTCTATTGTAGATAGGGTCCCTATGAGTTGGAGCCAACTCAATGGAATGTAACAACAACGACATAACATATTATCTACTATCCATAACTTATTCATTTAAAAGTTATTAACATTTTATATGCATCAGTCTTTTCTTTTTCAAAAAGAAAAGCACTTAAATTATTTTCAATTACAAAGCATTTTCTTCCTTTCAGTTTAATTTAGTTCTCACAAAGTGTGTGGTGCAAAGTCGACATTCAGTAATTGAGGTGTAGCTGTCAATAACCAATGATGTGCTTTACATAGCCATTTAAAGCAACTGATCTGTCTTAATGGCCCAAGATCACATCCATTCTAGAGTGTCACTGTTACAAAGATTGTTAATCATAATGTTGTTGTTGTTATGTGCCGTTGAATCGGACCTGACTCATAGCGACCCCTCCTTGCATTTCTGAGGTGGTAAATCAGAATGCTCTTTTTTATTTAACATGAGAATTGATTTTTTTTTTTTTTTAAATTATATTAATCATTAGGCACTTCAGGATTAGGCTTCTGCTTTCTCCTTTTCCCAGAAAACAGTAAAAAACACAGTGTCTTTCTGAGATCTGGAGTTTCTCATTCCGTAGGTCCCATTTGCCTTCTTACAAGTTCAAATAGCACCTCTGAACATTCTAGTTGGCCTGCCAATTGCTTGTGGAAGGTTGCTTCTGTCATCCAAGGCTCTTAAAATTTTAGCATCTTAGGTTGGATACAGGCTCCATTGAAAACAGACTGTGATGTGAGACCTGGCTGATGTTTTTGGAACCTCCACTATAACAGTATTATATCTATGCCAGACATGTTATGGCCCTGCAGGAAAGAATCACTGAAGAAGAGATATGAAAAAAGACTGGTTGCAGTTAATGCAATAATTAAATGGAAACTGTATGTTGAAATTGCAGATGGAATAGGAATTAAATTACATTTAAAAAGTGTTATAGATTTGGACAAGTTTTCATACTGTTAATAAATCTATGCATAATTTATTTTCTTGTAGGCTATGACAAAATAGCATAAATAACTTCATTTGTAAGGCTGTGAATTCTTCTATTCTTAATTCTTAATTAGGTGATGGCTAAAACCATTTAAATGCTTCTGGATGGTTGAATATATAAATGTTTAAAACGAACAATTATAATAGGTTTCTAGGTAGATTTGTTTATCTAATATTCTTACATTTATTTTCAGATACTAGCAGAGTACAGCTGTTGCATAAAAATTGCAACCAATATGGTGTGAGTTTGATATGACTTTTAAGGAGAAGATATTTAATCTCTGCTCTTGAAGAAAGCACTCTGATACTCACTGAGCAAATATTTTTTCCAGGCACTATACTACTCAGGAGTCCTGGGGGCACAGTGGTTAAAGCAGTTGGCTGCTACACTGAAAGGCACCAGTTTGAACCCACCAGTAGGTCTGTGGGAGAAAGATATGGCAGTCTGCTTCTGTAATGATGTCCAGCCTTCCATACCCTATGGGGCAGTACTTCTTGTCCTGTAGTGTTATTATGAGTTGGAATTGACTCGACGGCAGTGGTTTGGTTTGGTTTTGGTTTATATTAGTCATTGTCTCATTTCTTCCTCACTATAGACCTCAAGACAAATGTATTAATCCCATTTAACTGGTGAGGAAATTGAGGCTCAAAGAATTAGCAGTTAGCCCCAGGTTCCACAGGCGGTGAGTGGCAGAGTAGTGACTTTGACCCAGGTACTTCCCTTCTTTCCATGACCTATAGCCTGACACCTTACACACTCAAGGAAGTTTAACACCTAAGTATCTGAGAGCCATGCCTGCTTGATTAGAGGGGAGTTTCTTGCTGCAGGGAGTCCCTGGGTTGCACAAATGGTTAGACACTCAGCTACAAATAGAAAATTGGTGGTTTGAATCTAGCCAGAGGCTCCTTGAAAGAAACACCTGACAGTCTATGTCCAAAAAAACAGCCACTGAAAAGCCTGTGGCACACTGTTCTTTCACTCTGACACACGTGGGCCACCACAAGTCAGAATCGACTCCATGCCAATTTTTTTTTTCTTTTCTTGCTACAGCAGTGACCAAATAGTGACTGAGCATCAACACAGACGTTCCCTAGGGGCTTGCAGTATCTGCCACTGTAGCATCTGTTTTGCGGCTCTCAAGAGCTGCACTTGGGGCAGCTGAAATTCAACCTCACCCTAGTGCTGAGGAGCCCACTTTTGGCAAAGGCAAGGTCCTCATTGCCAAAGGCATATGGGGAACCAGAGACAACCACCAAAGGTATGATAGCTTGTGGCTGCCTTGTAGAAATAGGGGACAAGCCTGCCATGCAAAGTCCTCAGGAGACCAAGTACAGAGCATGTGGTCCTGGGCTGCTTGTGTCTTTGTGTTGATCTGAGTTTGCAATTCATAGAGACCATGGCTATCACCCATCAGATGTGTTAGTATTGGAGGGTTTCCATAAGCATGACATATGTCTGCTTATATAATGATATCTATACACTCACAGCAACAACTCATTAAGATCTTTCTAGATTAACTGATCAAACTCAGGGTTGTTGGTCTTCTTCACCCAATACATTCCTGCTCATTCTTTTGAAGAGTGTGGGAGTGAGAAGATGGTTACTGCAATGGGCCTTCCATGGTCCTGCAGGCAGACTGTTCTCCAACTTACTGGCTCTGTGACCTTGGATAAGCTGCCTAACCTCTATACCTCATTTCCTCATCTGTGTAATAGGGTGATGACAGTACTTGTATCACAAGATTATTGAGAGGATGAAGTGAAATAATTTTATGGAATATTTGGTACATATCAAATATACAGCACTTGTTAGCTGTTATTTTCATTCTTCATTCTCTGCTAGACCCTTCTTCTGCCCCTGGGAAGATAAACTTGATGTTAATGTATCAAAACAGAAAGTGGAAGAATTGACATGGTACATCCATCTCCCCATCCCCACCCCATTTAATGCTATTAATGACATGCGTTTACTGGGAATCACTTTGGGAGTTCATTGGCCAACTGTAAGGATCTAATCTTTTTCCATTTAGGGAAATGATTGCCAATCTAAGTCAACAATTGGATACAGTGGCAACTCATCTCCTCAACACCCAAAGAGAAAAGGGAAAAAAGAAGACGTGAATTCAGAAAAACCCACAAAAGTGAAACAAAACGCAAAGTTAAAGGATTCACCTCAAACAATTCCAAACAGTGGTAAGTTTATTGCTATTATTATACAGTTACCTTGAAGCTGTGACACAATTTTAGTTCTTATACAGATTTACTTTCCCGGGTGCACAGAAGGCATTCTGTATAAGAATTTCCAAGGAAGGCTTTTTGGGTATGAGGGATGCTGCTGTTTTTCATGCTCAATTTCTTGGATGTTGCATTGGAAGAGCACTAGTTCCAGAATCAAATGTTTCTAAAATTTACGAACATCTGCATCTACTGATAAAAACCAAAACCAAACGCTTGATTAATATTTTTACTAGCTACTATTGATATCAGTTTATTTGTGTATCTACAGTCCATGTCCATGTTCATTGTGATTTACTTTTCACACAGATCACCTTTCCTGACAAGATGTTTTACTAATTCTACTGAGAGTTAAGAGAATACTAAACATACATGAAATTTTACTAACAAGCAACTGCATATGTACCAAAAATAGTTATGCAGTTTTTTTCTTCCTTACTTGGTGAGAAATGGTATAGGATGATTTTTTCTTTTTTAAATTGCCTTAGCATGAGATTTCAGGATAAAAGTGTAATGAACTACCAGAAAGAAAAAGAAAAAAAAAAAAAAAACCCAAACTCTGCCATGGAGTTGGTTCTGACTCATAGTGATCCCTCCTTGGGTTTCAGAGGCTGTCTCTCTACAGAAGTAGATTGATTGCCCAGTCATCCTTCTGAGGAGTGGCTGATGGGTTTGAACCACCAGCCTTCTGGTTAGCTGTCAAATGCTTTAGGCACAAAGCCACCAGAGCTCCTGTAATGAACTAAGGGAGTATGAAATCAGAAACATGAACTTTCACAGTTGGTTTTTGTTAAGAGGGACTTCTTTTTTTTTAATAATACATTTTGTTATTGAAAATGTACACAGTAAAACATACACCAATTCAGCAATTTCTGGATGTAGAACTCAGTGATGTTGATTAACCATTGTGCAACCATTCCCATCCTCCTTTCCTAAATTCTTCCTCCACCATTACCATGAACTGATTGCCTAGAGGGGCTTGTTTTGAGTTTCATTCCAAGCTTATTCCCAGTGGGGTAAAGTGTATGAGAAAGGAGTGGTGTGGGGGATTAGGGAGGGCTGGCTGGAAACTAACTCAGTGGAGTGACTGCTACTCCTTCCCACCTGGAACCACTTACACCACCTGTGGTGGGATATAGTGGGACGCACAGGAGGAAGACAGATGGGATGACATTTCAGATTCATGGATAAAGCCCAACCTTAGCCTGGAAGTTTCAGCTCATTTCATGGTTGTTATGAGCAGTCACATTAGAGCCACAGCTAAGGAAGTTTTCACAATTGACAAGACAGCCTGAACTTGGGTGAGAGACTACTGGAAGTTGCACAATTGATTAAAGAGTTGGAAGAAACTAGCTTTACATTAAGTTAAAAGAATAGGCTGAATGAGTGTACCAGTTACACAGAGAGAGACCAATTACACAAAATACAAAGGGTTTGACATCTTGAATGATTTAAGTGTTGGCTACAGCTGGAAGTCAAGAGGTCAAGAGTCCTAGATTCTTGCTATTGACTTTGGACAAGTCATGAACTCCCCACCCCCCTTTTCTTGGCCCTATTATCCATCTGTAAAATGTGGGCTTATACTAAGGTTTATCTTTAAAGTTTCACTTCTCTAAATCTAAACACTCTTTTTCAGTCACCACAAAATAAGGGGGCCGGAGTGAAGAATAGTTGTTCAGCAGACTAGGCAATCTACTTCTATAGAGACATTGCCTTAGAAACCCAAGGAGGGGTTGCTATGAGTCGGAATCAACTCAATGGCAGTGAGTTTTTTTTTTTTTTTTTCGTTTATTAATGAGATAGTGCCTGTCCAGTAGCCGGTAGAGTCCCTTGGTGGTGTATATGGTTAACGTGCTTGGCTGCTGATCCAAAGGGAAGGTAGGAATTCAAGTCTACCCAGAGATGCTTCAGAAGAAAGGGTTGGCAATCTTTTCTGAAAAATCAGCCATTGAAAACCCTTAAACCCTTTGGACCACAGTTCTACTCTGACACAGATGAGGTCACCCTAAGTCAGAATTTACTCAATGGCAGCTGTTTATTATTATTTATGGCAGCTTTTTTTTTTTTTTTTTTTAATTATGAGTAGGTACCAATGAAAAAAAGTAACCAGGAAGAATATGCTATTTTTTGGTGATAAAAATTAACAGAGGCTTATTTTAATCAATATATATTAGGTTGTGATGCTCCCAAGGCTAGGGACTATGTCTTGCTAATATTTTTGTCCCTAACAACTGACACAAGTTTAATATGTATGAGGCTCTTAGTAAATATTGGAAGAATGAATGATGAAAGTTAGAAAAACAGTTGTTGTTGTAATATACCGTTGAGTAGATTTCAACTCATAGCGACCCCTCCTTGGGTTTCTGAGGCAGTATCACTACGGAAGTAGATTGCCCCATCTTCCTTCTGAGGAGTGGCTGGTGGGTTTGAACTGCCAGCCTTCTGGTTAGCAGTTAAATGCCTTAGACACTATGCCACCAGAGCTCCTAGAAAAATAGTTACGTCTCTATAATATTAAAATCCACTCACAAACAGGGCCTGTTTTAAAGTTTTTATGAATTACTTTTTGATTGAAATGCTTTTGTAGAATTTAGATGGCTTGTTCTCTGTGATGCTCTTAGTGTCTTGTAAAAACTTTCAAATCCTACTTTCAGTATAGTTTTTAAAAGTATTTAGTATTGGACTGTCAGAACAAATCTCAGAACATAATCTTTTCAGATGATGCCATGTGTCGAGACATGAAAACACAAGAGGCAGAATCTACTGATTCTGGGGACTGATTTTTTTTCCCCCTTTAAAGTATGAGACTTGTACCATTGCTCTAGAAGCATACTTAAGCCTTTCTTGATAGGAAGACCATATCACCTGGAAATTGAATTTTTCCAAAAACAACTTTTCCAGGATAAATTAAAAAAAAAATGCAGTTCCACTAGTGTAAACCATCACTGATAAATGTAAGCATGTTAGTTCAAACCCATGTTCTTTTAAATTGAGCTATTTTTCCTTAATGCATCTCCCTCTACATGTCTTGGCCCCAGAAATCTTCCATATTATCATTTCAAAAGTATCTGTTTTTCCTTTAACTGCTTCATTCAGCCTTCATATTCATTTATCGTTGAAGTTGCTTTTTAATTTAATGCCATCTACTATTGTAATTAGAATCAAGTGTGTGCTTTTGGGTACCTCTTTCTCAAGAGGGCTCTTATTCTTTGGAAAGGTAAAACAGTATGGTTTGAAGGAAAATGAATATGAAGGGATGGAGAGTCCAGATAATGAGTGAAAAAATGGAAGAGTGTAGAGATGAATCTATATAGTTTTTTTTTTCCTACTTAAAATATGTGTTTTTACTTTGGTATTAAATCAACTAATTTTATTCCAAAGGATTAAATTAATGTGAATAGTTAATGTGAATAATGGTTATATCATAGCATATGTTAAATGTATGAATTTTTTCCCCAGTGTTCTTTACCTATATACTTTTGCAACTGTTCTCAACTTAATCTGGAGAAAAAGACTTTGTGGACAATCTTCACATTTTTGTCTTTTTTTCACTTTGTATTCTGATATCTAATGCTATATGATTGAGCAATGCTGAAATCAGTCTGTAGATGGCAACCTGGTCCTAATTTTGTTTCCTTTTCTTTTGACGCTGTTTCTCTCCGTAATAATAAAGCTTAATATTTCAAGCACAGCAGTGACATATTTCTTCAGGGAAACAAATCCCATTTTCTTTTGGTGGCCAAGATGTAAAGTAAGATTGGTTGGTGATTGATGAAGTTGGGTGTGAAATGCATTTTTAGTGCTCCATTTAAATAGCAGCTTAACTGGCCAGTGTGTATTTTTGTAACACTTCACACTTCAGTTCCGGTGAAGTGAGACAAGTTTTAGAGGCTGTTAACTAGCTACACTCTCCACTCTGAGCAAAGCCATAATGATTGGTTTGAAATGCCATTTTGTGTAATTGATTATATTCATTGTTAGTTTTAATAGGGAGCTCTGGTAGCATAGTGCCTAAGGCACTTGACTGCTAACCAGAAGGCTGGCGGTTCAAACCCACCAGCCACTCCTTGGAAGGAAGGTTGGGCACTCCTACTTCTGTGGTGATACTGCCTCAGAAACCCAAGGAGGGGTCGCTATGAGTCAGGCCGACTCCACAGCAAACAACAATAACATGAAAAAAAATGATTTTCAGAAGCTTTGGGACACGGGAGGGAGCTGTGGTGATGCTGTGGTCAACACTGTGGTGCTAACAATAAGATCAGTGGTTCGAACCCATCAGCTGCTCTGAGAGAGAAAGACGAGATAGTCTGCTTCTGTAAAGATTTACAGCCTTGGATAATCTTATCAGGGCAATTCTACTGCATCCTAAAATGTTATGAGTCAGAATCGACTCGATAGCAGTGAGTTTGTTTTTTGGTTTGGGACACAGGAAGTGTAATGAATTTTGCCCTCCTTAAAAATGTTGGAAAGGCTGCAGAAAAAAAGACTCTGGTCTGTATTGCTACAGCCTATGTTGTATTAATAATCATACAAATTTTTTAAAGGCAAAATATTAAAATGTAAGCAAATACAGGGATCACTTTCTTGTGAAGGATGTGATTATTTCTGCATACATGTGTACACACACATACCTATGTGCACATACTTGCTCATATTCACACATCTGTATGCACATGCACATAAATGCACATGGGGACTTGTATCCTTGATGCAGTTCCTGGCTTACCCCCAGCGTCATTCTGTGTTAGTTCCTAAGAAATCTGTGTGATTTAGACTCTTGATGAATGATAGGGAGCAGGTGCAGTGCCTGAGAGAGGATGCCTGAATGTGATGACCTTGCTTGGGTGAGCGCCCTTGAGCAGTCATATTCTTGAATTTTCTAATAACTACAACCTGCACATGGTTTGACTGCATTGCCCTGAGCATGATGCACTGCTTCAATCCATCCTCAGAGTCAC